CAACCATATCACCAGTACTCAACCATATCACCAGTACTCAACCATATGTACACGTTAGATTTCTTTCACAGTAAGTACAAAAAATACACAAGACTCCATAAAAGCAGAGAATTAATTGCCCAACTCATAACATCCCAGGCTTAAGTCAGATTTTTCTGTCTAAATCTTCAGTGATTTTAATTAAAAATATTAAATACCTGTTTTTCTCTAAAGGGTGTTAACACCACATTAGTGGATAAATCACAGTATTTCTTTGCAATTTCTCTGAGCTGTGTAAATTACTAAAGTCCACTTTTTCCCATTTGAGAGATTACTGGAAGCCTTGGAGAGATTATGACTTATAAAGTAAATCATTATTCTTCCGAGAAGAAATATTGTAAAAGTGAGCCTTGAATTGGAAGCCGCTGTGAATACTGTAATATAGTCTCCTCTGAAGCCATCCTTGACAATGAGCTTCCCTGCATCTAGCCTCTCCAGTGACATATCGGTGCTAATAAGATCTGGGGACACTGAGCAGCAGGCAGCAGCTAGGATAATTTTAATGCTCCCGAATTCTGTATTATACCTTATTTGTGATAGTGCTTTGTGTGGTTTTCAGGCATATAATTGCACGTACTCATAAAATGCAATGTTAAGTGGCTCTCTCCTAGGCAGAAGCCACAGCTCCTGGTAGAGTCAACATGCAGAGCAGTTTTTAAAATATCTCGCTAACCACCCCTGATGATGCTTATTAGCTAAGCTCATTGAGGCAAGGCGAACCAGAATGGAAACAGGGTTTCCAAGGAAGCCAGCACAAATGTTGAATTCACTTTAACAGCGTGGTCAAACATCTGAAACTCAAGACTGACTAAAGATCATCCTCTGAATAACTTTGACTGAGCACATTCATATCCAACACCTACACTGCCGTAAAGGCCAAGAGACCAGTTCTCAGCCCCTGCCTAGGGCTCCTCAGAGAACTGTTTCTTAGGAGTAGGTATTGAACGATTTCTATAACTCCACACAGTATCAGAGGGCCATTGTCTTTATTTCTTCTTGAGTTCAAATTCTCTTGTCCTAATTGTCTATAATTTCTTGGCTCTAGTTGTCTGTCCCATCATTCTTATTTCCTCTACATTCTACTTTCTTCCAATCTTATTTCTTACACATTGTTACTTTTATCTCTATATTCTTTCTCTGATCGCCATTACAAAACCCCAGGCATGTGTACCTCCATCCATTAGCAACTTGTTAGTAATTAAAAAGAAACTACAAGGGAATTCTCAGGGATACAGATACTCTTTGAAGATCTGTAGGGAAACTTATCAGCTAGCTTGTAGCTAACCACAGATGCAGTTGTGAGGAGGTCCCAGCTGTCTTTTAAAGGGCCAGCTACAGGTTACAAAGCAAAAAAAAACTAAACCTTTGAGAGCTCCAAGGAATAGGCAAAGAATATGTGGATTATTTTACATTTCTTAAGTATGGTAATAATATCTGGACATGGTCAGTTAACAGCCTTTCTTATCGTCTGAATCTCAGGACCAAAACAAAAGCAGTCTACTGAATCTAAACTCTTGCATGAGAAACTGGTACAAATGTTAATTGCTATTTTGAATCAGATCAAGGAGGTGCCAGGGAAGGACAACAGGGCAACGTAAGTGCCATTGATCTCTCAAAGGACCGTGATATAACAAGGACAGACCCCTGCAATACTGCCCTAGTTTACCATAATCCTCAGAGGGGTTAGATCCTGTGAGGCCAGACACCTGCAATTCCATAAGTAAACTCTGTAAAAGTCTGTTTGTCCAGAAGGACATATGTCTGGCCAAATTGCTTTGCCATTAAGGCTAATGATAGAGAACAGGTTTCTAAATATCTCATAGTAGTATGGAGAACATTTGTGTAGAGAGAAGTCATCTTTCTGACCATCCACATATATGGTGCCCACAAGATTGAGGTGTAATCATGAGATTACATGTACACATTATATAAAAATGCACAGTAATGGGGAGATAGCACAGCTGTTACTGCACAAGTGAAATGACAGATAAAAGCAACCGTTTTCAGAGTCAGCGATGCATAAGCCTTGTTGATGGGTTGCCCCATTGGAGAATAATTCCTCTGGTGGGTTGACATCTGAATTATCAATTGCTCTAACCTGTAATTGCATCGTGACTTACAATGTCTCATGATAAACACTCCTGGCACACCAGGGTTGTTACTCAGTTGTGGCAAGGAAGCCAATGGTTCAGTAGCATCTCTGTAGAACGCAGACGAGGTTAACACAGCTGGGAAGGAGGGCTAAGTGAGGGGACAGTCTTAGAAGGTACTTGTCGATTTTCTGTAGGATTGGCATCCCTACCCTTCTACAACATACCCATTCTTTGTCTCATCTTTGGGTTCTCATATGTTTTAGTTAGGGTTTAGTGTTGCTTTGCAGAGACACCATGACCATGGCAACTCATAAAGAAAACATCTAATTGAGGATCACTTGTGTACAGTTTCAGAGGTTCAGTCCATTCTGATCATGAAGGGGAGCATGGCATCTTGTAGGCATATATGGAGCTGGAGCTGAGAGTGCTACATCTTGCAGGCAACAGGAAATCGACTGAGAGAAACTTGAAAAGAAGAGACCTCAAAGCCTACCCCCACAGTGACACACTTCCTCCAACAAGGCCACACCTCCTAATAGTGCCACTCTCTTCAGACTTCATTTTCTTTCAGATCACCACAGGACTTAATGAGTAAATGCTCTTATGCCACAATCCACAGTCCATGAACACCTAGCCACTTCTGCCTTGCTCATCCTCCTAGGATCACAGTAAATAGGAAATGCCTTAGAGATAGCTTCCAGACAAGGTCAGGTAGTCCTCTGGCCCAGGGACATTTTTCAGGTAAAGGCAAGTAGAGAGCAGGAAGTGTTGCCGGGAAGGGAGGAGTCTCCTTGTCATCGAACTTTCGGAAAAAGCTGCCAGCCCATGACAGATCACAACCTCTGATCAACCAGCAAGGCCTCCCAACAAGGGAGCAGCTCAGATTCACCTTTAATCTTTGGAATAGCTTCATAAGGAGAGTGAGATGCCTTTCTGACAGTCAGAGCACTGAAAGTTTTGTTTGCTTGCTTTATTTATGTTTGTTTATTTATTCTTCACTCATACAATACATTCTGACTGAAGTTCCAGAGGCTGAACTGGCCCATCTTCTGATGGCAACTTCCAGCGGTGGGACTGGTACACCAACCCAGTCACAAAAACTTTGATCTACAATCTGTCCTGCTGCAGGATGTGCATGGACAATGGGAAAAGGTTTGCTTTTGTTTGTTTGCTTTGTTTTTATCTGTTTGTTTGTTTTGATGTTTGCTTTTTTACCAGTCTTGGGGTTGACATTTATTCCTAAAAAAGCTACCTTGGCAAAAATGTCAAGGACATGGAGAAGAGCAAGATACAGAGTTTAGGATGTCCAGAGCCTTTCTGGAAAACTGAGGCAAGGGAAAGACAAGAAAAAGGTAGGAAGCCGCCATCACACCCAGTGACATGACTTCAGGGTGACTCCACTCCCTACTGCAGGAACACAGAATGTCTGTTTGCCAGATAGGACATCCATATCACCATACAGTGGAAAAGCTGAGCATCTTTACGGCTGATTTTCACACAGCACCTTACTGAGCTTCCTTGTGGTTGCTCAGGAGAAGAAGGGAGGGAAGGGGCTGTAGCATAGGAGAACGCTTCTGGCCTGGTCCTGGCTTGATTTCCCGCCTATGAGGTTCCTGCTTCTGCAGAGTCTGAAACTACTTCACAGGTGTTGTAGCCAGAAACTAAGAAAGGAGATCACACAGGAAATTCTGTCCCCGCCCCAAATGCTCCAAGCTGACAACCAGGGATGCTTTCAAATGACCAAATCTCTCCCAACATCAGGTTCCCCTTCAGAACACAAAGGTGGTTTGTCTGCTGGCAGAGGAGAAGTTGAGAAGAAAATCTGTGAAGTTTCAGTTCATACAGGAAAACAAGAGACACAGAAACCTTTTGCTTACCAAGACCAAGTAGATGAAGCAAGAAAGTTGGAGGAGTGATGATCAGAAGAGGCCCCGGAGAGGAGACTGCCAGGGAAGTGGTGAGGAGAAGATCCCACATGGTGGCAGGGGGCGGAGGGGGCCGGTGCAGAAGGTGTGGAGTAAGGGGTGGTGCAGGGGTGGGGATGGTGTGGGGGTGGGGGGTGGTGCGGGGGAGGCGATGGATGCTGAGGCACTGAGAAGAGCACAGAGCGCTGGTGAAGGTTCTAAAGTGTTTTCATCCAAATCTCAATTGTTCAATCTAAGCACCTGGCTGACCTTCCTCCTCCACTGATGTCCCAGAAATGGAGCTTTCTCTGACACCATCTCAAAACAAAACTTTTCAATCTGAATGTCCCTCCCTACTACTTCCTGTGTCTCTCTATCCATCCTCCTGACCCTCTCTTACTCTCTGCGGTTCCTTCCTGCCAACTGGTTACTTGCTCTGCCTCTTGACCAATGGTTGACATTATTTAATTCTGTTTACAATAAATTGAAAGCTCTTAGATTAAAGGTGTGTGCTAGATGTGAGCCACACAACAACTAGAAACAGGTTTTTCTAATAAACAACAAGGGTTCACAGTGTGATCAAATGTCCTGCAACACTAAAGGGATTCTTCTGGATATTCTCCAGACCCTGATGAAGTCAAGGCAAAGTGAAATATGAACAAAACATAAGAAAACAACAGAAAAGCTAACCAAAGACCAAACAAGAACAAGACTACAAGCAAATGAAAGACCAAGCAACTGGGGGCTTGAGGGACTTGGTATCCTTGAGATTTCTCTGTCTCACACGGAAAGGTTGACCCCAGTTCAAGACGTGGAAGACACTTTTTGTGAGATACAGAACCATAGGTAGATAGAAGAGAAACAAGTGAAAACATTAGGCAAGCCTATCTAGAAAGAAGAGCAGAGCGAAGCTCTCAGCCATTGCACGTACACACTTGCACACACAAACATACTCACACACACATTCACACACACACTCATATACTCACTAACACTTACACAAGAATACTCTCACACACACTCACACATACACTCCACACACAAACTCTCTCTCTCTCTCTCTCTCTCTCTCTCTCACACACACACACACACACACACACACACACACACACACACACACACACAGAGCATGTCCTGGCTGCCTCGTGTGTCACCAGCTTTGTATCAATCCTGAGCAAAGTGAAACAGTGTCACCCACTTGAGAAGAAACTCAGTGTCAAAAACAAAATCAAAAGCACATAAGCAGAGAAACAATGGAACTTTCAGAAAACACAAGAAAGAAGATACCATGTACAGTTCTTCTCCCCTCTAGGGAGCAAATTTTTCCAAGCCCTCAGTGACTGGATTCTTCTCCAGCCCCTGCCCACCCCAGGACTCACAGCCAGACTTCCAGTGCCCCAAGCTATGAGATGATGGCAGAGTGCAATCTTAGGATGTTAAATCTGTGACAGCCTGCTCTGTGTGCCCTGAAAAGCAGGCAGAGTCACTCTGGTAACAACTGGAACTTGTTCTTCAAATTTTACAAGCAAGATTTCTCTAACATTATTGCCTTCTTGGCTTTGTTTCTGTCTAGGAACAACTATTATAACTGGTATGCTGAGCTCACAATTGCTTGCATCTACTTCTTTGCAGTGACAATAGTGAGCATTTTGTCTTCGCTGAAGCTTTGCACGCAAGAAAAGGGTTGCTCTGATGGGCTTCGTGGAGCCAGTTCTTTTTTCTTTACACACTTTTAAGTATTCCTTCTCAGGAATAGCATGCGTGGTGACCACAGCTAACCAAGCCTGCTCTGCTCAAAGGAGGACCAGGGTTGAGGTACCTTAGATCCATGCCTGATCTACAGCCAGGTACTCAGCACAGGATCTCTGAGACAGAAGTCGGTCACTGAAGGTATTAAAAGAAGATCAGCTTTATTCCTGCTCTGATTGCTTCTGCCATCAAGGTTGGCAACAGGAGAAGGTCAAGGCCATAAGTGTTCGTTTCCAACCCCTCCCTTGGGCATACATACTGAAAACACCTATGGATGCTATTCACTCGCAGAATTGTTTTTCTCACCTATGAGGTCTGTGTGTTTAAAGGACGTCATGACAAACCACTCCTCAGGTAGCTGGAGCATTTTTCACAAGAATTTGAAGACCGGGTGCTGGAGAGATGGCTTGGCAGTTAACAGAGCTTGCTTCTCTTCCAAAGGACCAGAGTTCAGTTTCAATATCTATGTCCATGGCTCCCAACTGCCTGTACCTCTAGGAGATCCACTGCCCTCTCCTGGCCACTACAATCACTTTCACTCACGTACACATGCCACACACAGATACACATGCTTAAAAACAAAACAAAATTTTAGACAAAAAGGTGTGCAAATCAGTAAATGATGAAACATACACAATGAAGCCACACTGGGACTAATGCATACAGAGTTACTCTAAATTCAATACTCTGGAAAAGCTACCATAATCTGTTTGCTATGACCCTTAACATTTCAAATGCTCACTCATGTTCTTACAATGTTTCACTCATGTGCTTTCAGGTGATGCACCCAGTGTGACTTAAATCATGCATTCCAGTGTTACTACATCACATATTTCATGTTGTGTGTGCATATACATTTATACATATACACAAGGGAAAACTTGGGAATACATTATTGTGGAAACCTAATAAGACTGTACAATTTGGTTGCATTGAACATCCAGTTTTCATAAAGGATCAGTCTTGCTGCAGAGTTGAGAGCAATGCTAAAGTAAGAAGCATTGATTCTACTTGACTAACATTTATTGTCAACTTGACACCCACCCCTGGGAAGAGATATCTTCTGTTAAAGAATTGCTTCCATCAGATGGGCCTGTGGGCTTTTCTGTGGCTCTATTTCTTCATTGCTGTGGAGGGAGGGGCAGCCAATTGTGAGTAGTATCATGCCTAGGCAGCTAGGTCTGACCTATAGAAAAAAAAAGGAGTTGAGCAAGCCAAGTGGAGCAAGACAGTAAGCAATATTATTCCATGGTTTCTGATTTAGTTTCTGCTTTGACCTCCTGCCTTGGACCCCTGCCCTGGCTTCCTCCAATGATGGATTGTCACCTATAATTAACCTTTTCTTCCCCCAAATTGCTTTTCATCATGATTTTAATCACAGTATCAGAGAAGCAAATTAGGTCACCTCACAACAAGTAGTAGTGAAGTAGATGTGAGGGGTGGTTGTACGAAGGTGATCATATGTATATCTCCATGGGACCAAAGTCTGACCAGTGCTCATGACCACAAGGACTCTTCCAGCGGAGTCTCTGCATCACCCACCTTGAGCAGCACCAGCTCAAGCACGCCCAGATCGTCTCAGTTATTATGATGTCATCAAGGAATGGACCAGCGCCACCTCTGTCAGACAATGTGCCATACTCATCAGGGAAGAAGGCTATGATCTCTCTCAGAGTTCACAGAGAACAGCAAGCCTTAGACATGATCCCCTCCCTCACCCAAGGGGAGGGGATCAAACCTGGCATAAACACAGGAGGAGCTGTGGAGCTTTCTTCATCCTATAAGTTCATGCCAACCTTCGCCTGTGACCTGAGAAGATTCTGTAGGGACGGGGGCAGCAGCAGCAAGCAGAATTATTGATTTCAATACCTTCCCTGGGCCTCAGAGCGTAATTGCCAAGTCCACAATGGAAAAGCTGCTGGAAGGAGCTGAGAGACCAAGAGCAAGGGGCGGAGGGAGTGGGCTTCTGCAAATGGGGCTCTGAAAAAGCAGAGTCCTTGCTCATGAGAGTGCTTGCCCTTGAGGACTTTTAGTGACTCCAGTTGGAGCTGTTTGATTGGTCCTTATGGACCATCTTCCAGGGAGTTAACAGTAAGGTTTATCATGATACTGACCACAGACGTGAGGGCATAGCTATGAATGGATGCTCTTATTGGCTAGCCCGGACGCATACTTTATGGTCTCAGCCAAGCCATTTAGGTTTCTCTGCTAGTGACTTAAATTGTCCTGTTCCCCAAAGAATCACTCTCAGCCATCAAGAACCACCTCACTCTAGATGCCTAAAGTGACTGCCCTCCTCCCTATGGGAGGTTCCCAGCCAAGCATGACTATCTTAGAGAAACAGATAACTGCTCCTCCTGCAGTAAGGAACATTGCTGTCAATCACACCACAGAGCTCCTGAGCTGGGCCCAGGAGAGACAAGAGCTAAAGCCAGATTTCTCTCACTTTCCTGGCTTACCCCGAGACCACTCGCTCCTGGGATCAACCACCTCCAAACACCAAAGCCGCAGACCAAGCTTTTCCAGTGACCGTCCCCACCCCCAGATAGAGGCAGGGGAATTGTCCCATTGAAAGCTAAGCAGTGCCCAGGGTCCCAACACCAGAGATGAGAGACTTACACACTGTTGCTACTGTTTAATCCCCCAAAGAACTATGTGGCAAGGTGCCTCTCACGGCAGCCCACACTAGATACAACACACCAAGAGTGATCAGGACCCTTGAGCAATGCTGCTGTCCTTCCTTTCATTAAATCAAAGCTCTCCGGAGACCAGCGATAAACAGCCTCTTGTCTGAAGGCTCTAAACTGTCACTGATCCCAGCCACACCAAATCCTCTACCTCTGCAAAAATACTGCTACCAACCGGAGTGACAGAATGAATGCTTCTGTGCCACTTTGATTTGCTAAGCTATCTGCATTTATAAAGACTCTTTGACTCACCTAGAGCTGCGTTATTGCCACAGATATATCGTGTTTATGTAAAGCATGTGAGCAAAATTAATAGGCTAAAGCATTCCTGAATCATCTTCATTTGGAAACTGGCATTTTCTGATCCAAAGCCATTCATTTCCCCTCTCACTCTGGTGTGATTTCTGCCTTCTGTCTCATGCAAGATATTGGGATTAGGGAACTGCTGAGGACAGACGTGGACACCAAGCATCCAGATTAACCATGGTGCTGATCTGCCCTGGCAGTGCTGAGATGCACTTTCTCTTTATATTATTAGTAATATTTAGATGAGAGTTCTTGGGACTGGGGAGAAGGCTCAGTGGGTAAGAACA